TCGAAAGACTTATAGTCGTATCGACTGCCCATCATTTCATTTAACAGCACTCAGTTCTGTATCAGGTTCTCTACATGGAAGAAGACTGTCCAGACCGTCTACACGTTTGAAAGGTAAAGAAGTAAAGATATCCCTGTAATAAGCCATGGAGTCCCATAGGATTGTGAGACGTCGAGGCTCTCACGTTTTCTAAACAATCAGATCACAGATGGTGGTCAAGTTGTTAGCCTTAGGCGCCGGCCGCCCTTTACCCCAAGGAAGATTTCTATACTGATTTCTGTTAGAGGCTATGTCGACCCTAGGACCTTCCACACTATATTATCTGGCTCCTGACAGAGTTTTAAACGCAGAAAGTCAGCAGACTCCTTGAGAAACAAATACTGACACTGCCAGTTGGGAAATTTCACGTCATTCGTTCAGTGAGAAGGTGATCCAAGTGATCTCTCTACCTTCAGAATTCCCGGCCAATGTTCTCTATTTATTTTTTATCTTTANATCCAGTCCGCAAATTCACACCCTGCGTCTCTACGAACAAATTAGATAGGATCATTCCATCCTCACCTAGGTGATCCAAGTGATCTCTCTACCTTCAGAATTCCCGGCCAATGTTCTCTATTTATTTTTTATCTTTACCATGCTTCCTACATGTCCCGCCCCTTTGACATCATCATCCTAAATTTTAAAATCCTCATTATGCTACTTTCTGTAGGCCTTGTTACTTTTCGTTCTCAGGTCCCAATATTCCCTTCCGGACATTGTTTCGAAACACGATCAGTCCGCCTTCTTCCTACAGAGTGAGAGTGCAAACAAGGTTCTCAGTTTTACTGCACAAACATTTTTATTAATTAGTAATTACTGAAAACCAAGAATAGAAATATTACAAGGCACAGAAGCATGTAATTCTCTTCTTTTCCTTCTGCACGATTACCAGCCCGCTGAAAGCGATTCAATAAAATGTAAAATGTTTAATGTCAATTATTTTGGGGTATGCGGTAGAGTTGTTGGTTGAGGCGGTATGGTACAAGCCAGAAGGTCGCCGGTTCGATTCCTAATGAGGTCATTGGATTTTTCAATTGACCTAATCCTTCCAGGAGTACTGTAGCCCTGCGGTCGACTCAACCTTTAACAGAAATGAGTACCAGGAATCGTACAGGACGGCCAGCGCGTAAGGCTGAGAGCCTTAAAGCCATCTGTAAGCCGATTGTCTAGAAAATGTGGGAGCCTCGACGTCTCACAACTCTATGGGCCTTCACGGCCTGTTACGGGAATAGAGAATAACAATTATTTTACCAACTTTTGTTGATCTGTTATGAGGAATTCGTTGCGGATTCGCGTGATACAGAATTTACACTTGGTATGTATAACCTCAACCGAAGAGTCTTAGATATATAAGCGTAGATTCATCATGCTAATTTTAATCTAAATCTAACTAAGGAGCTTGAAGCTGATAAGTTGGAAATAAAGATGGAAATGACATCAGCAGTATTGCTTCACTTCCATTAATTTCGTTCAGTAACCTCACAATAGACATGAGAAATCGTAAACAAAGGTCCAGTTTCGATCTGGGGTTCTCACAGCCTTGACTGTGAAGAGTATAATCCTTTGTGTTCTAACACCGTACAGTCCGGTAGTTCGCCGAGTATTAGAGGAGTGTTATGTCTCCATCTTCAGAGTGGAAGGGTAAATCAACCCAGAACCCCGCAAAAAAGAAGACAGCACACAGATCCGCTCTGTTTGTCGCTTGATTCTTGCCGGTTCATTGCTTCATTTAATGTTCTGCCCTGAAGATGGAGGTTACATTTTTCTCCGAAACGTCAGTGTACTCCTACCAAAGTACATGCCATTAAAACGCAAGAGACGGTACCCGTCAAGAAGCAGAAAAAATTCCGGATTAAGGAGAGTTGATTTGAGAGTTTTAGTCGAGTTCCAAGATTGAAGGGTGACTGAAGAAGAAATGACAATGAAATTTCATAGTGCATTGAAGTGCTACTTTCTGTATTGAAATCCGTTGCCAGGAGACGACTAGTGAAGACTGAGAATCCTAGCGCGTGTTCAACAGTGAACTGGTAAAACGATAAAGTTGTACATGTGCTTAACTAATTAAGCACTACACCATGAAGGGGTATGGGGTGGAGGATATGGAACCACATTTTTCTTGAACTCGGTACTAACTGGAGGTGAGTGATGAGCTTCACTCCCCGACCGCTTTACCTCCGGGGAAAAGCCCCCGGTACCCATTGGCTAGGAGGTTGGGTGGACCCCAGAGCAGGTCTGGACGACGTGGAGATGAGAAATTTCTTGAACCCACTGGGACTCGAACTCCGACCCCTCGTTCGTCCAGCCCGTAGCCGGTATCTATACCGACCAGTCTATCCAGGCTCGTAACAGTGGACTGGAAATGTGTTAATCAGCGATACCGCTGTATTAATTGTAACTAAGAGAGATTGTAGCCGAAGTGCAATAAATCCAATTATCAGAACTAGAACCCATTATTTTCGTCACACGTACCCCCCTACACGTGACAATATTCATATTGAATTCCCTATGCTCTATATGCACGACTCGCAATTAAATGACTGCACAGTGGGAAGGGTACGCCGTATCTTCACTACTGGATCATATCCATGTTGCTCAACGAATTTAAATCAAATAAAACTAGGACAATTTCACCTTACTGTATATGGGTACAGTAAACAGGAACAGCCTTTATGCTCCAGATTAAGTAAACTCCATCCCCTCCACACCACCTCCGGTTCAGTACGTTCAGTACTAACATATTTATCAAGCAACTATACATTTTGATCTTTGGAACCATTACGAAAACATCCATCTTAGTGCAAAAATATTACAAACCTTGGTCATAGTTTGAAGAATGCCATCTTCTGGTATGTAACGCCGTGTAGATTGTGTGTAAATCGACATGTCGGAGGAGCGTCGGTTAACACAATATCTACACTGCGTCACATCCCAGAAGATGGCATTCTTCAGAGTCACGCCGAGGAAACCTCAATTATTAGTTAGTCGTAGTTTCCTCTCATTGAATGAAATATTTGTCGGCAAAACAAAAAATTAATTATTTTGAAAATTGCACGATTAAGTGTTAATTCTCAAAATAGTATATATTTATGCTATTACTCCGTCTGCTACATTCCCGAATTGGATTCTTGTGGTTTGATCTAAGAGTGATAAAATTCTTGACTNTTAAGTAAACTCCATCCCCTCCACACCACCTCCGGTTCAGTACGTTCAGTACTAACATATTTATCAAGCAACTATACATTTTGATCTTTGGAACCATTACGAAAACATCCATCTTAGTGCAAAAATATTACAAACCTTGGTCATAGTTTGAAGAATGCCATCTTCTGGTATGTAACGCCGTGTAGATTGTGTGTAAATCGACATGTCGGAGGAGCGTCGGTTAACACAATATCTACACTGCGTCACATCCCAGAAGATGGCATTCTTCGGAGTCACGCCGAGGAAACGTCAAATATTAGTTGGTCGTAGTTTCCTCTTATTGAATGAAATATTTCTGTCGGCAAAACAAAAAATTAATTATTTTGAAAATTGCACTGTTAAGTGTTAATTCTAAAAATAGCATACTATTACTCCGTCTGCTACATTCCCTAATTGGATTCTTGTGGTTTGATCTAAGAGTGATAAAATTCTTGACTCTCGTGCGCTACGCGAACTCTTATAAAGGATATCTGCCCTTCGCAAGAAATTTATCTTCCAAAACAAGATAGCAGAAAAGTACACACAAACACGCAGACATGAATGCTAGAAGCAGAACTGAGATAAACAATCACGCTGGGTTCTTAGAAGACCATCGGAATTATGTTGATGATATTTCAATGCAGAACAAAAGGTCTTGAGTCCCTAGTTTTAATCCTTTACGCCTACTTGCATCCCTTAAAATTAAGCAGATGGCTTATGTTCTCGCAATATGCTACCTGCATACAAGTGTGTGTGACTGTCTGTCTGTGTGTCACATATTTTAACTTCTAATCCAGTTACCTCATTTTCTTACAAACAGTGTACAAATTTTATGCCATTCAACGAGAATCAAACCTCTTACTTTCCTGCTACAGTAATAAGAACATGAAGTGTGAATGAACTTGGAGCTTTCGAGCGAAGTTACAGAAGCTTTGTACAAGGACTTCAAATGATAAACTGTAAGAGATTTTGAAAATAAAAAATGGATCCGTTCTTTGCCAGCACGTCCAGACAGGCTGCTGTGACTCTGATTCAAGGGCAAATCGGACAGGGTGCAACAGCGAACACCCATTTTAATCTAATGCTGAAGGATAAGAAATGGTGTAGCGAGGATGTCAAAGGCCTACTATGGGTTGCTGGACTATTTAATTGCGATTATATTAGACGAAGCCAAGCGATAGGCATCGCGCTCCATCTGCTATATCCAGTGGAGAGGTAGCAACTGGAAGGGCCCCAAAGACAATCTGGAGACAATGGCGTAACTTGTGTCTCTCTCCGGGAATTGAACTGCGTCATCCTGTCAGTAGCTGAGCACGTGTTCTCGCTTACAATACTAAAGTTCAGATAGTAACAAATTTGAGGTGAAAGCTATATGTGAGTAGCGCTAATTTCACTCGATAGGCTGCTAAGCTAACGGCTAATAAACACAGCGATTAACACAAGCGACACAAGCGCAGTAAGACTGCAACTTTCAGTTAGCCCAAAGTAATAGGCCATGGGTAATACATAGGATCAGGAAAAAGAAGTACAGTCACAACATTCACTGCATTATAAGGAAAATAATTTAAAATTATGACGATTATTTGGTTTTATGCGTTGTTTACATACAGTGCTAAAACTGAAATCATAATGACGAGAACGCGTCTATGTGCTTACGTTTACGCCTCGTTTCTGAAATTGCATTGCAGGTTTCAATAAAATTTGGTATTTGAATCTCTATTCAGTTCAATTTTGGTGCCTACTCTTTAAGGAATGTCAATCCTGATAGGCCTATTACTTACTTTCACAAAAACTTTCATTATACAACAGATCAGCACTTTCTGCAAAGTACAGATGTCGCAAAGTTCTAAAACTATATCAGATGTGGTGGATAGGGAAAAAATACAAGGAAGAATAATTTATGTCTCTCTGCAGAATTGTGTTCGCAGCGTGATTAGCCTTACTCTAGGTTCGTGTGTAGAACATATGAACACCAAAGTCAATCTCGTATTTAAATTAATATCAAAGAACGCATCTCCAAGATATGGAGTACACTTTTCCACTACTGTTTTATCACTTGTGAAAGCACTCACGTAAATCCTTACCTACTTCAGTAAGATATATTTTTGGGTATGTTTGTTCCTATTTATTTTCCTGTACGTCGCACATTTTGACTCGAACAATTCATGTTTCATTTTATTTCTTTTGTCAGTAGAAGTGAAACGATTTCCAGTTACTTTTGTGTAAAGGAACATTTCATTAGTTCATGTGCAACACATGGCATAGTCGAAGACTGGGATTCACGAATCGCCGGCCTTTCCGCACACCTCACAGTCGCTCCGCACACCCGACAACACCGGCAAGCGCGACGGCACTGAGTTGGCAATCTGAATGAAATGGTTGCGTAGTGTGCGGTCCTTGCCGACCTGCGCCGTTGACGGGAGTTTGCGCTCTCACACATTAGTGAGTTATTCTCAAGGACGTCGATTTCGTCAGCAACAATAAGAAAAACGACTGATCCACGAAGTGGGTTATGTTTCAAAACTGACGTCATGAACAGTAACAGGGAGAGCTTATACTCCCCGTAGACCGATCTGTGATCAATAAATTCTTAAATGCTGAGTATGAATTAAATACATCTACAATTCCACGCATCGACGTAGAGAGAGAGACAGATGACTTTCCAAAAGTTCATTTTCATTTTCAGATTGTCTCAGAAGTGTAAATGCGTAAAAATCTCGAGACTAATTTTGTTTTCACAGTCACAACAGCGTGCGCTCTCCCACAGGCCTGCGCTATGTGTGTAAAAGTAAAGTAAAGCTATCCCTGTAACAGCCCTTGAAGGCGCATAGGTTTGTGAGACGTTGAGGGTCCAACATTATCTAGAAAATCGGCTCAAAATGGCGGTAAGTTTGTCAGCCTTACGCGCTGGCAGCCCTTAATCCCACCCCCAGGAGTCTTCCTCGTACTCATTTCTGTTAGGGGCTGAATCGACCCCAGGGCCACAGTGCGGCCGGAGGGATTAGGTCAATTGAAAAAAATCCAATAACCCCATCGGGACTGGAATCGGCGACCTTCCGGCTTGTAGCATAGTGCCTCAACCAAAACCGCTACCGGGTGCTCCGCGTTACGAGTGTGGGAAAGTCAATTAATTCCTAAATAATTTAAAAAGCTTGCACTGTTTCTGTAGGATCCTACAGACTGATGATTCTCAGTAATGACTGGAACGGTATGTAAAGTAAACTAGCCTATCACAGACCTTGCCTCCTGGTACTAAGTAACAGTAGGCAAACAGTCAAAGCACGGAGATTAAAGTAAGGGACCTTTTAAGTACCGATTGTCTACAACGTTCCATAAGAATATATGTATAATTATTGTGTTTCTAGATATTATCCATTTTCTTGTTTTTATTTAAAACATAACATTTCGGAGACGGGCTCCAGAGATAGCGACTCGCTCTATCGATTGGCTTCAACTAAGTAGGTTCCGTCTGAAGGTGGAGATAGAATCCTGTCTCAGAAACGTTATGTTTTAAATAAAAATAGGACGATGGATCTTCACAAACGTATGGACCTTATTTCAGAATATGTGCCTGGCTATTCTCACAGTATTTGTTTACGTGCTGTTATCTTACGATTAGCTTTAACTACTTGGGTTGGGATGGGGGAGGGTTCATCAGTCTATAATGACTTGGAAGGAAGAAATATTCATGGCCCTGTTTCAGGTACTATTTTGACCTTCGTCTAGACCGTCTAGACAGACTCAGGAAAACAACTGAAATCCTCAGGCAGCACTGACGTTCTTCGATCAAGAACATCGAGTTAGGTCTCTACATTTTTTCTTAAGCAGCTTATGTCTTGTCTCGTGTGTAGTTTTTTTGTTTTGTGGTCACTTAATCTCACACTGAGACACCGCTGATGGGGGATGTCTATTCAACCAGGCTGGTGGAGCAATGCAATTTTTATTCTACAGAATTCACGCTGAAATTAATTTCGGTTCAGTGATGATGTACGGAACAGTACAAATTAACTGTATTTAATATCAATATTATTAAAACTTTGACATATTTTTAATATTTTAAGAAGCTTTATGCTTGTTTTATACGTTTTAAACACGTTTAGGTTGAGTATAGAACCACTTAATTTGTGCATTGAACATATAAAATTTTTATAGTCAGCGCAACAATACTTTATTTATTTATTTTATAGCGTTCACTACATGTTTCGACTTCAAATGGATCATCTTCAGGTGCTGCAAGTTTTTCATTACCGAACTGCAACGCTAACGTTCCCATTTCTATAAATGGTTCGTACAAGTTAGTTTCTATTCAGTTCACAAACTAGACAAAACTTAAGACTAGACTTTGGTTAAAATTAACAACAATATACTATGAAATAAGAATAAAAATCGTACATATGATAAAGTCGCATACATAAGAAATAGGTTAAACTTAGTTTAATAATTATGTGATCCTAAATCCACAATTTGATATTTAAAAATGAACTTTTAAAATGTTATAAGCTACTAGTATCTTTCTGTTTGTTACTGCAGCAGACCACGCATAGGCTTTGTCAGATTTCTTGTACCGCTTGCTGAATTGGCTCGCCATGTTAGTATCGTAATGTTACCGTTTCCTAGAGAAGAGAGCCCTCCTCTTTCATGATGTCGGGAGCCACTCTACAGTGGGCTTTTACGTGTATTAATAGTGATATGTTATGTTACACTTATAACAGGTGTTTGAACATTAATTCCTTTATAACCTTTCTATACTACTTACGGTTAACATTACGCGGTTCATTGCGCTGCGAGGCTCATACACAGTAAGCTATTTCGTTCAAGGTTGCTAGCTTACTGTCCCAGGATAATGGTAACGGTAGTGGGGAGGATGGGGTTTTTAGGGGGGAAGAAAATGTTAGGGGGGTGGAATGGTTGGGATATGAGTAAGGGATGAGAGGTGTGGTGGCTGGTAGAGATTTCTGGAAAGAGTTGGGTTCTGAATATTAGAATTCGATTTTGTTAAGAATTCGTATATGGGGTTATACGTGTTGGTCGAAGTTTCATTCATTTGTAATCCTTCTTTATTTATAGTAAATATATAGCAATTCTTGAATTTATCCAGCATTTGGTCCTTTTTTCCAACTTGCAATATTTTCATTGTTTTTTTTTTTTTCATAGCATCGTAGTTATGCGTCGTATCGTGTATTTGTTGGACGAATTTTGAAATTTTGCCATTTGCTTGTATGTCTCTAATACGCTCGTTACGTCTAAATTTAAATGTGGGGCCTATCTCCCGCACGATAGCTATTCTCTAAGAAAATGGTAATATCACGATACTAACATAGCGAGTCAATGCAGCGTACAGTAGAAGAAATTTGACAAAGCCTAGGCGTGGTCTATTGCAATAACAAACACGAAGCTACTAGCATCTTATAAAATTTTGAAAGATTGTCTTAAATTATGTTTAAATATCAAATTATGGATTTGGGATCATGTAATTATTAAACTAGGTTTAACCTATTTGTTATGTATGCAACTTTAACACATGTACGATTTTTATTCTTATTTTATTGTATTTATTAATCAAAGTCTACTCTAAGTTTTGTCAAGTTTGTGAATTGAATAGAAACTAACTTGTACGAACCATTTATTAAAATGGGAACGTTAGCGTTTCAGTTCGGTAATAATATGTGAGAAATTTGCACCACCTGAAGATGGATCATTTGAAGTCGAAACATGTAGTGCGTTCTATATAAATGAATAAATAATAAAGCATTGTTGCGTTGACGGTAAAAGCTATATATTTTCATTATATATACCAAACGGGATTCAATCCTTAAAAATATTTTGTGCAGATAATTATGAATAGGAACAGTGAGAGAAGCACTCTGTATTATCACTTTATTCTTAACGCACAACAAAAAGAAAGCACACTATTTGGATCCATATAGAAAGTACAATTCAAATAAACCAAATAAACTCAGACATGCGCAGTGGAATGTGAGTTATGTGATATTTATTTCTGTTGCATTTGACAGGAAGAACGAAAACAGATATGCAGGGCAACGGATATGCACGCAGCAATACTAGATATTGTTTAGAACCGTGTTTACATGCTGTCCGTGCTGAGGTCATATGACGAGGACGCCAGCCGGACGGTACTTAGTTTCTAGCAGCGAATCTCAAGGGGCTTGGCGCCAAAACGAAGTCTCTCAAACACGTGACAATATATATAATACAGTCACCAATGCAGCTTCACAGGATTTTTTTTAATTCGCTTAGTGGGGGGGTGTAGTCCAACTTTGTCCGCTCGGCACGTCGGTCACTGATTGGCCTATTGTACCTGCCCGGGTGATTATGTGGATGGAGAATTTGGTGGAATGAAGATTGGCAAGGGAAACCGAAGTACTCGGAGAAAAGCCGCCCCAGTGCCACTTTGTCCACCACAAATCCCACTTGACCAGACCCGGGATCGGGAAGACAGCGACTAACCGCTTGAGCTATGGCGCGGCCCTAGCTTCGCAGGTTTCTAGTAGAATCACCGCTTACTTCATCTTTTCATGTAAATTCATTGATATACATCAGCCATAGAGAGCCATCATCGCAACTGATGATTCGTCTAGATTTTTATACCGTATTATTATATAATCTTGAGCGTTGTTACGTCCGAAAAGTTTGTTATTTAAATAATTTTTATGCACGTTTAGAATATATATATATAATTTTGAATTTTTTAAAGACATGCAATGATGTATTATTGTGTTTCTTGAAATTCTTCTTTCCTGTGATCTGTGTTTGTTGTTGCTAAAGTATTTCGCTGATATATGCATTTAGTGGATACCGTTTCTTTACTTGTATTCGGGTCGCCAGAGAGAGAGTGTGGAGAGGGTGTGGGTGTGGGTGTGGGTGTGGGTGCGGGTGCCGTTTCGGGTGCGTGTATGTGTTGGTTGAATATGAACCTGCCGTGGCAGTCGGTCTGTTGCATGAGATACGAGGAAGCTATGTGCTGTAATAACGTCTCAAGTATTGAGTTGTCTTAATGTCAAAGTGTTAATGTAGGCTCCGTTCGCATGTAGGTGGGCTTGCTAATTAAATAA